GCGTCACGTGATCGATTTAAACCAATAAGAACCGGAGAAAATTTAGTGGTGAACTATAACCTGTTGTAGTGTATAGTGTTTTTTGTATAATTATAATCATGATATCGATCCATTTACAAAGTCAATTCCTTAATTGTTTATGTTGTCAAAGGCCTGATAGTTGTTTCTTCTCACCATCCTGATCCTATGAATGCTTTTGCAACCATGAGCTCACAGCAAATAGAACAACAATCTGACCAACATGGCCATTTCAAGTGGTTTACCAACACCGTGTTTAAATACCATCTTTTGTTACATGATGTCAGTGTCGGTGAAGAGTCAAAGTAAGACCCAGTTACTCAGACTTTTCGTTTATTTTATTATAAATTATGGACATCTTATTATTTTGTTTAGATATCTTATTTGTGATTCTCCCTTCTAGTAGCAATACACTTCTTTGTAAATCATTCAGAGAATTTGTTGTTGTATCGTCGTTACTGAAATGTTTGTCCACACTAACACCATTTCACAGGATAGAGCAAATTTCATTTGAGTGTTGAAAGGAATCCAGGATTGACACTATCAATGTTGCTGATCAAAGCAGTATGCAGGGTGTTTGTCATCAATTAACTCTGTAACGGGCCTTGCTCACCATAGAGGTTTTGTGACTCAGTGGTAGAGCATTAAAATGCAGAATCCTTAGGTCTGAGGTTTGATTCCTCATGTAGACTTTTTTCTTTGTCCTATGCTTGTGACAAGATGAAAAACATCATTTTCTAATACAGGATTACCTCTATTTTGCTTTACTTTGGAACAAGATTGATGTAAAAAACTCTTGTTATTTCCTCAACTACAATCAGATTCAATACTAAAACCAATTGCAACTTGTTTAATTCCATTTTTTGGTGCTTAGTCAGTTCGTCTGCTTCTGCTATGAGGACTCATATCCACTGCTTGGGATTTTTAACCTTCCATCTGACTGGCTGTTGTGATTACTTTGGTCTTGGTTACATGACACTGAATTGAGAAGCACTATATTGTATTGATTTTGTAGGGAGAAGTTACTGGCTAGTTCTGATCATTTCAGTTGGTGCCATATAATTCAAACTAAATTCCATTGTTGATGATTCAGGGTTGTTGCTAAGCATTGGCTGCCAGCGAAATTTTCCGCCCAAAAAAGTGGCAATCACTGGCTGGATTTTTGGCTGGGGATTGCTTGGTAAAGCACAACAGGCACTTCTGAGGTTACGCACACAATTAATCAGCACCTTTGAGCCGCCTCACTTGAAATTTCAGCTGGTGGCATAATTTCTCAGCTATGACCCTGCATAGTGGATGATTTCTTTATTCTTGTTACCTATCTGTCAGAAAGTGGCTTAAAAAATAAGTAACTATTTATCTCCCAATATCCAATTCGTAATTCTCCCTACTGACTGCTATAAATTTCCTTTTAAATTAGAGAGGAGAATTTGGCGTTATGTCGATAGAGCATTGTAGCTGATTAACTTGTATTTCTTAGAAACTATTGGCTAAATAATATATTGTGTGTGCTAAAGGGTTAAAATTTTAAGGAAAACTTCATACTTGATATATATTGACCTCTGGGTTTGAAAGGGTTGAAGATATCAAATTTAGTGCAAATTAAACACAACGAATGTATGAAATTCATATATCTGAACTGCAGTTATAGAAACGTATTTGTGCACGATCCTCGCAGTAAAGAGCACTTAGTCTATTTAAACAATAGTGAAAATCAGACCTAATAAAATTCAGGCCTGTGTGGGATTCAAACCACTGACCTCTGCGATACTAGTGCAGCGCTCTACCAATTGAGCTAACAAGCCAACTGGGAGCAGCAAGCTGCTCCCAACCCGCAGCAACCGGCTCAGTGGTTTGGATCCCGTACAGGCCTGAATTTTTTCAGGTCTGATTTTCACTATTGCATAAATAGTGCTCTTTACTGCGAGGATCATGCACAAATACATTAACGCAAATTGGCTTTTAAATCAGCATTTCAAAGCTGAGCACTCCATATTTTGTAAGACAAGAGCCTTAAGGAGCCATCTTGGGTAATAAGTTATGTAGTGTTGTCTTTTGATGTTTTAAAGGGCGGAAGCAATTTACCAGAGTATGAAGTCTGTGTATGGAATACATGCCTGCCACATGTTACAGATAAACTCTGTCACCAATACTGGTTCCAATCCTCTTCCAAATCTTCCTGATCCATGGAGTCAATTTATAATTCCAACTAGTGAAGACACATTGGTGAGCCTTTACATGTTCTGTTTCAGGGACTGTCTGGGTGACATGTTTTTTTACACAGTTTTTCATTGCAAGTGGGAAATCTGGGTGTAAGAGGACAGTCCAAGAACAAGTATTTTGATTTCACTCTCAAAATGTAAAACATACAATATAGTAAAAACTAAAAGGAAGAGAAAAAAAAACAATGACGAATCCAATCCTTACTGGGCTTAAAATGCACTGCTTGGTTGACATACTAAAGGAAACTAAAATGCATGTCCAAGAATGTTGACTTATTATGTGATGTAACAAAAAAGAATTGTAATGAAAATATGCCAAAGCAAGCTGTTGCTTAGATGAAGTTCAGGTCAAGGGACTGATTCCACCAGCAATTTCTTTGTACAGTGAAGTCTTTTTGAGATATTTTTCCATTTAACCCTTGTGATTCAATGCTAATGCAGAATGTAATTCCAGTAACATACTTGTGGCATCATATGGTAGCAACTCGTTTCACCTTTTTTTAATAACTTGTTATGGTAAACAATTAATTATCCTAAAGTAATTAATGCTAAGTGTGTGGCATACATGTAGATCCCCTACTGTAAGTTGCTAACAGAGATGTGATTTCCCCCAGGACTGGGATGATGATGAAGTAGATGCCAGTGCTCAATCTGTTGAAGATGACCCTGAGAATTGTGCCGTTGATGAAAACTTTGATCCCGAGGCAGCAGTCCATGAGCAGACTGATGGGGGACGGGTCCGCAGCAGCTCAGGACCAATTCTGATTGGTCCTTTGACATTTGATGACGACACTGAGCTTGAGGATGACTTGGAGAATGAAAAACTATCAAAACATCTTCCCGGCAAACCGAATGAGAAACATCATCATCATCTTGCCAGTCATTACCGCTACTTTTACAGTCGGCAATTCTCCAGTGGAACAAGAGGGGCAACGGCTCAAAGAAATCATGGATTGTGCTTGAGTCTGAGTGATCATGACAGGATCAAGATATTCATTCATGAGTTGGGCTACAGCGGACTTCTCCAATACATTGAGAAACTGATGAGATATCTGAATGAACAGGTATCATAATATTATTATTAATAATTCTCTAGCATAACTTCTGTAATGGCTGAGCTGTTATCTACATGCACCTCTCTAATCCCTCAAACCCCTGGAGTAACCATCATCTTATTTCTTTTTACACAATTACTGAATCAAGCATAATTATGGGAAAACAGGAAATGACCATCAACTGAAGAAGCTCTTGATTCAGGGCTCAACTCTAACTTTTCAACTTACTAGCTAAGTGGCTAGTGCTAACTTAGATGTTGCAACAATTTCAGTTTGTTTACTAGCCAAACTGGCTGGTAGAAATCTAAAACCAAAACTGAATTTTTACTAGTCTGTGGTTAGCTGGATACCTTTAGTGTCAAGCCCTGTTGATTGCAAAACAAATTCTTGTTGATATCATAGGAAAATTAATACATTGAGAACAGTATGAGAATATGTGTGCTGATATTAGGGTTCACCTTCACTTTCATCATTGAGTAATACTAATGGTTAAAAAAAAAATCATTGAATAACACCACTTGTTTCCTTCTGGATTCTCCAGTGGGCTAAGCAGAAATTTTGTCTTTTTTTTGTCTGGTGCGACATTCTTAATTTCATCAAGGTTAGGTATTTTTGGTCATCAGTATTTTCTTATTTTGTATTCAAATAGAATTATGGTACAAACCGATAGTACCTTAACAGGTAGGAAATGCATGAAAAACAGATCTTTTTCACTATTTGTCATTCCCTTGTTTTCAAGTGAACAATAATATCTCTTCATCAGAGTTTTCTAATTATTAGAACTTTCTGTTCCATCTGATCAGATTGTCTCGCGTAAAGGTCTTCATCGCTCAATCTTCAGTGCTACAAAAAAGTGGTTTGGTGGTGGAAAACCAGCTGGAATGGCATCTGGGTTGGTTCCAGGAATCATGTAAGCAATTCTGTACATGTATGCATGAGCAACATGCAGTCAAATCTTGCTCAGTGAAACCCTGATCTGTTTTGAAGAGGAACTGATTAAATCCTCTACCAAAACCATCCTGCAGCTGTGGGTGTACAATGAGTGACTGTTTAGATCATCAAGTTTTCTTCCTCTGTGCTATTTTTAGATCCCACAGGGATCAACAAATGCTTTTCATTCCACTAATTTATTCTTGGTTTTCTTGTTGCCATGTTCCCACCAATAATGTAGCTCCATTTTCTCCCTTTAAAAGCACACACAACCCACAATTGCTCTATTCACTCCGACGAAGGGCTAATGCTCGAAACGTCAGCTTTTGTAATCGTTACAGTGGCCAATTTACTATTTCAACTTTGTTGATATATCCAAATTATTTTAGAAGACTTGTGTTACACTGTAGCTGGAGGGCCACAGGGTGACCGGGTTAATTTCTGTGGTGTTATCTATTAAGCATATTGTATTGTCATGTTTTTGTTTGTGAACTCACAATTTGTTAGTTCCTCCCAGGATGTGTTTTCTACCCCATTTTCTGCCTTTAAAAGCACACACAACCCACAATTCCTCTATTTGCTCCGATGAAGGGCTAACACTCGAAATGTCAGCTTTTGTAATCGTTACGGTGGCTAATTTACCATTTCAACTTTGTTGATATATCCAAATTATTTTTAGAAGACATGTGTTACACTGTAGCTGGAGGGCCACAGGGTAACCAGGTTAAGTTCTGTGGTGGTATCTATTGAGCATATTGTATTGTAATGTTTTTGTTTGTGAACTCACAATTTGTAAATTCCTCCCAGGATGTCTTTTCTACCCCTTTTCAACCTAGGGCAAAAGGACTTTCCATTTTTCTGAGAACATGTGATGATTGCCATGATGTTCTTTCAAGTTCTACTATGCATCTCCATTTAATCTTTCAGATACAGTGATGATTCTCCAGAATTGTACCAACGCAAGCTGGGTGATTTGGCATTTTTGGTCCAAAACTATGAACTTGCATACAACAGTTACCACACAGCGAAGAGGGACTTCAACAATGAACATGCTTGGTTTTATTTTGCAGGAGCATTGGTACGTAGAATCAAGTGCTATAGTAATCAGTACAATAGAAGCAGAGGAGAGAAAAAATGATGGAAGTTTGTTTCAGGTTGTGTGACATTACCCAAGTCATGTCAATTTGGAACTGTATTCTTGATGTTTTGAGAGAGCTCCCAAAATATAGTTTCAAGAAAAAAATAACCGAATCTTTACTTCAAATCCTTCTAAACTGGGATTCTTATCCTGATGTTGATACATTAATAAACGAAATGGCAAGAAACTAGATTTCATTAAAATAAAGAGTATTTTGAGCTTTTCCTGTTTTTAATTATGTGCTTATGGCTTCGTAATTAGTATACCTATATTTTTGTATTCACTTTTGTAATTGACATCTGTACCTTTGTAATTATTATTTATTTTTTGTCATTAGAATAATATTATATTAATATGTAATTGACACGTTTCTCATACTACCTGCCTCGATTAGCTTTGCTATATTGTAGGAAGTTTTAATTTATAAGTTAAATTGTGATTAGAGATAAAGATGTTGTTGTTGTTGTCGTTGTTGTTGTTGTGCACTGTCTGCCTTTTCACTCCTCTGCTACCATCTTGTCATTTGACTAACTGATTATCAGGAACAGGCAAGCGTGCTGCTATCTTTATGTCCTCCTAACAAGTGAAAATCCTTACAGACTTATTTCTGCAGCTAATAAACTCATCACTGATAATAAAATGTACAGTTTTGCAGTAGTATTTGCCTGCACAATGTAATTTTATGGAATTTTGTAATAATTCTATTTAGGAAATGGCAGCCATCTCAGCTTTTATGGCATCAAATAATCGTCCTTTTCCAACACACTACATGGAAACATCAATCACCACATACCTCAATGCATGCAGGTATGTGTTTTGCTCTTCAAAACTGGTTTAATTCCTTGACTGGATAGATTAAATGAAAAACCCTCTTAGTTTGATTACTAGAAATCACTATCAAGGGATAGACTACAAGCAGTCCCTCCTTTTTGCGAAGTCCGTCGCACAAGCGGAAAAAAAAAAAAACAGTATAAAATAATGGATGTTAGTGGGCAGACTTTGTAAAAAAGGAGGGACTCCTGCAGTGGATGGCATGTGCTGGTTAACAATTTATTCAATGTATAATTTTATTTATTCTTTGAGCAACTGGGGCAAAACTCTTTGTTTGTAAGTTCTATAGAAAGGTTTGAAACTGAACAAATTTTACTTCCTAGAGAAAGTGTGAATGTATCTCATTATACAGTATGTCGATTCTTACATGTGAGTTCATTATTTGTTCTCCTGTGAGAACTGACCGAAGGAAGAGAAGTACAGAACTCTTTATGTTTCTGTTACTTGCACCGTGTATTTAAAAGAACCTGTTTGTACACTCTCTGTTTCCCTTTATCTGCCAAGGAACGCACCACAGAAAAAAATTAATTCAATTCTATTATTTAATTTGATTTTACTTGTCATTCTGTAGACAGCACCAGTTTGCTATTAGAGCCACCCTCCTTAGTGCTGAAACTCTCAAGGCACGAAATATTTACCTTGATGCCGCCATGCAGTTCATGCGAATGACTGCTGAGGTAAAAGAAAAATACGTATTAAAACGCTTTGCTGCAGTCATAAATTATTGCATTGTCAGACTATTAGCATTAATATAACAGCTACAGCTGTAGAGTAAATGCAGCTAAATGACCTTGGCTTACGAGATATAACGTTCTTAACCAGCTTTGGTTTTGTCGCCCAAAAAAGGTGAAATGACTTTTCGGTCACTCAAGGAATTGAAACGCTTATGCTTTGATCCCTACCTGTCTTTGTTCCATGAACTTTTCCCTTATATTTTTGTTTCCTTTTAGGATTCTGATCTTGTGTGTGCTCTGTTTTTGGAGCAAGCAGCACATTGTTTTCTTCACAGCAACCCACCCATGATTCGCAAGTATGCTTTCAACATGATCTTGGCAGGTCATCGTTACAGCAAATCTGCGCAGGTACTCCTTTATACTCCTTCTTGCTTCGTGCTGATCGCTTGGCTCGAGTAGAAACTTAACCATATATTTGTCTTTCTTCTCATTACCTTCTCTGGTTTTTTTTTCCTTTTAATTATTTCTTTCTTGCTTAATTAAATAATTTAATCGATTCGTTATTTTTTTGTTTTCCTTGCCTTTTCAGAGAAAACACTCCTTGAGATGTTATCGGCAAGCTCTTTACATCTACAACGAAAAGTCATGGCACCTTGCTGAGGTTGGAAATAATTACGTCCAGTCAATGTGCTTTATGATAACGATCTACAATTTTTCTTTATTTTATTTATTGCTTTCACCATACTTACAATACTAAAAGGACTAAAATATACATATGAACAAGACACAGAAGAGAACGGAGGACAAGGGTGCGGGACGCACAACAGAGCGAGGCTCCAAATTAAGTGTAATTAAATTAATTACTCAGAGCCACTTTCAATTCAGTGTCAAAAATCATCTAAGATGGCTTTGGTTTTGCTTGCTTTGCTATGTGATTCTTACAGTAATCTTGCGCCACTTTCGCAATCAATAAGATTAAAAATAAAACACCAATCACGACTTACAGTTTCTTGCATTTTTTTCCGCACTAGAAGCTGTTTGCTAGAATTTACTTTGAGTTCCTATTGGTTGCCAATGAAGATTTTCTTTTATCTGGTGGCCCGCGTTCTGTTTATTAGGGACCTTAAGCAAACCACGACGGCAACGGCAACGGCAACGGCAACGATGACGTGGAAAAAAAAAAGATCTAATTGACAGAACAGTAGCTCAGCACGTGCATTTTAAAACTCAGTACATTTCTTAGCCGTCCTTTGCAAAACGACAACGTGAATTCACCAAAATTTGCGTTGTCTGCGAACCAAAACCGCGACGGCAAATTATTTTAATTTTTCCATTTGGAACTCAACGCTACTTTTATACATTATGTTGAGGTAAGTTGTGGCGCCGTATGAGATGGTAAACACGAGCAGCCATTTTCGGAATTCTAATTAAAAGTAGAAATTTATCTCTTAATCGACGTCATATTTGGCGTTGCCTTCCTGACTGCTTAAGGTCCCTTTTGGTTTTGGCTTTGGTTTTACAACACTCTAACGAAAGCGATCTTTTGGCTTATGACTTGTAAGAAGACAAGTGAGGAATAAAAGGGCCCTTATAGCACCTGAATTTGATCATTGAACAAAAATGTTGGAATTTACTTTTGCAGGATCACATCAACTTCACTATCGGTCGCCAGTCATTCCATCTGCGTTTGTTAGAGGATGCTCAATCATTTTTTAGACAACTTTTGGAGTACGAAAGCTCTCAAGCACCAGAACAACAGGCGTCCTACCTTAGAGAATTCCTCATCGTTTTCAAGGTACATGCATTTCTTAAGGTACAAATCAACCGTTTGCTAGAACGGTTGAAACCTTGAAATTTTGATAGCCGGCGTCGAGAACCCAATAGGGAGCTTGAGCAGGAGAGACTTTGGGGACGACGCCGCCGTCAGATTCCCGACGGCCTGGGTTTGACGTCGTCGCTCTCCCGCCAAGTGTTATTTGTTAAGCAAGCACGGATGCTGTTTTGCCAGTACGCAGCCATCCTCTGTTCCTGATATACTTTTGTTTCTGCTCCGGTTATGGCCAGTTTTAAAGAGTTTCGTCAGACCCTTCTTCTCTACTACGATGCTGATCTTATTAGTGATGAGGATTTTATAATCTTGTACGACTCGTTTTGCTCACGAAATCCAGATTTTGCTTATGATTTGTACGATCGCTTTGACTTGGATAACATGAACGACGACGAATACATAGCCGAACTTAGAGTGAGGAAAAGGGATCTTCCAACATTGGCTCAAGTTCTTAGGATTCCACCGTCATTTCAACTTTCGCAGATAAATAATTTCCTAATAAGCTTACTTACGATTTGGGGGGAGGTTTGGTGCTCGTTGCATCCTTCTCCGTGGCCATTTCTGTCTTCAAAAAACTGTCTAGAAAAGGCACAAACTGCCCTTAAACTAAACTAAAAATGTAATTGAATATGGATTGAAATCGTGTGAACCACATAGAAA